AAGCATGTGGCTTACCTGATACAGTAAGAGTAGTGTCTCTTTGAGCGTGACCCCAGAGATAAACACGCTGAAGTGTCTTGTTCATCTTTTAAGTCCTGGGGGCTTTATCTTAATTGCCATGCTAAAAGGTGCTGAGTTAATGCCAGTCAGATAAGATGGTGAGCTACAGGAGTCAAAAGAGCAATTGTGGTAATCTTTCTGTTGACAATGTTTGATGAGAGGCTGATGACATTAGAACAGACCTCTCTCAGCGGTGCTCACTAAGCTTGGCACACCTGAACACAATTTAGCATCAAGCTGAATAGAATTCACACATTAGAGAGGTGATTAAGTCTCTGATTGACCTCACGTAGCTCTCAGATCAACAGTATTGTGTTCAGGACAGTTAACTGTGTAGGCTGCAGGTGTTTACACATAGATATCAAAGTTCAGTTTTCAAATTAAATAAAGAAGTTTCCTGAATTTCATTGGTCAGTGTTTAAAGCAAAGGTGGCTGGTCCAGACATCTGCGTGGCCAGGATTTGGTGTTCACTAAGGGTGGGAATCACCAGAAGATGATACTTAAGTCACGATACAATATCATTTGATTTTAATATGTTGCAATATGATGAGTATTGTGATAAAATTTATTGCAATGTATAACCTTTTTTCAACTTTAAATTATCTCCACAAAGGAAAACTTTGTCAACATATGTGTTATCTAATAAGATAAAGTTTTCAGTCTGTTCATATCACTTCGGCCATTTTTTTAAAGCAAAATGTATCTAGAGGAATGAAAAAGCAATTGATTATATTATGTGAGGAGGCTACCTAAAGTTTAGTTTGTATTTCCAATGTTATTAATTTAAATAATTTTAAAAAACAATACTTGGCACTGTGTGACAATACGATATTGCCACACAAAACTATCACGATACTATGCTGTATCGATTTTTTCCCCCCTCCCTAGTGATTACATTTAAACATTTAAACACTTAAACACAACCAATATCAACTCAAAGGTCCACTTACTAACTTTTTCCAAGGCTTTCAATGGCGTCATATAGCTTGAATTTAACAGATAACACCTGATTTTATCACTGTATGGATAATAAAAACAAAAAATTACATCATGCACTATCATGCTGGGTTCATATTCATTTAAAAATATATACTATAGATCCTCTTTCGTATATATTTTTTGAAATATATACTAGATCCTAAAGAGGATCTATCATTCTCTTTCTTATTTTCTGTCATATATATGACGTTAAAATGTCAGATGTAAACGTGGGCAATGTTTCATATAATGACGTAAACATATATAAAAGTAATCCATGTTACAAGCAGAAACCTCAGGCTTCAGACTGTTCTGAATACTGTTTCCAACAGTTTTCTACTTTCTCGACAAGCTGACGTCAGCTCATGTAGGATTTCTTTATATGGTCATCTGCCCCAGGCACACTACTGCAAGTGAGACCATACACTGCTACATGTAGCTACATGCTAATGTCCGGAAAATATGTGATCATGTTGCTGATGTTGTCAATTGTCATGTCTGGTTGTGAACATTTTGGTTTAGAAGCTTTTATTGGGGATTTTTTAACAGTAGAAAGTACTGTTATACTGATGCCGAGATACAGAAGACCCAGAAACGCTGACCAATCAGAGCAGGCTGGGCTTTTTCGGGAGGGGGGCTTAAAGACAGACTGAACATATGGACATTAAACCATGTATACATTTTCCAGTTGAATCCCAAGATACACATTTAAACCTTGAAATGAGCATACTAATTCCTCTTTAATTATTCTTTATTGAAGTAAGGTGTTAGCCTGGAAATCCAGACCCAAATCTAGAAAGATTTAGGGTCTGGCTATGAGTAATGAAAATGGCCCAACTCGAGGGGAGGCACCAAGCATGCATTTGAAAATATCACTGCATGCAATTGGAAATCACTACGACCAATCAGAATAATACATGGGGTGACGTATACGCTTAGCTACCAGCGGAGCTAACTGGTAGATTAGACTCTTGCCGTATCCGGTCGGCAAAACAGTTAAAACGTCCTTCTTGCAAATTAAAGATTCTAGCTTCGTCTTCTGTTCCTCTTTTAGTGATAATGCCACGTCTAACTTGTTCATTGTAGCGGCCAAAGCCGTTTCAAACAACTGGTGTTCATCCGTAGCCATCTTGCAATGTTTACTGACTGATTCTGGACTTCGTCGTCGCAGCGCTGGTGTCATCAGTTTAGCTCGCCTCTGGCCCGCCTATATCAAATACATCGATGTGATTGGTGCAGCTCGGCTCCAACGGCATGGGTAATGAGCATCATTACTGATTGCCAGAGTGACTCACTGAGCAAATTCAAATTGTGCTCTCGCGAGAACTCTGGATTTCCAGGGTAGTAAGGTGTTATATATGTATTAGAAGCCAAAACTCTACAGAGACATAAACTGCCTGATAAAAACATTAATAACAGTAGCCAGCAGCAATTGATTCAATTCTGACCCAGATGCTAAAGTTTATCTACCAAAAGGAATTATATCTAATGTTTAAAACACTACAAAGACATCATTGCTAACAGTGACTTTCCAGTAATACTTTGCTGAGATAACGCTGACTAGCAGGTAGTTATCAGGCCGCCTAGTGGATCCTCGTTATATTTCCAAAATGTCTTAAATTTTTTAGTAGACATTATTTTGATTAATTGATTATGTATGAACCTAGAAGGCCCAGTGTGTAGGATTTAGGGGGATATATTGGCAGAAATTGAATATAATATAATAAGTATGTTTTCTTTAGTGGATTATCACCTGAAAATAAATATCATTGTGTTTTTATTACCTTGGAATGAGTCGTTTATATCTTCACAGGGAGTGGGTCCTCTTCTATGGTAATCACCACATTGCACCACCATGTTTCTACAGTAGCCCAGAATGGACAAACTAAACACTGGCTGTAGGGTCATTCTCACATCTTTGCTTCTTCGTATTGGCCACTGTGGTTAGAAGCCACTCCACGAAAAACACTTATTTTTCTTAACATGAAGTTGCTTTATTGAGTGTTTTTACCACTTACTACTTTGTTTATATCTTCACTGGTTTGGTTACTGCAGATAATTTGGCTCCTGGTAAAAACTCCCTGAACGTCTGGATCTTAAGTAATCAAAGAAAATAGTTGAGCACACATTAGCAGGTGCTGGGCTAGCAGCCTGTCACGCCAAACCGCATTGGAAAACCCCGATTTGTAATGTAAACCTGCTTTATTCAGTGTTTCACTACAGGAATTAAGCGGGAGACGTTTCGATACTGGTGAGGACTTCACATGTGACAGTTTCACAGTTTGAAAATATCACAATAACAGAGAAAAATGCAGATATAGATTAAATGTTTAACAAGATCTATGATATTCAGAAGAGAGCAGTTTTAACTTGTGGGTAAAGTTGGCAGTGATGTTTAGACTCATTAATGTTAATTCACCAAATTTACAGACAGCACCTTTAAAGTTTCATTCTTTCATTAAACAATTAAGCTTAAATGCTATATGGTGATTGGAAGATCTGCCAACTTGGCTGTACACTCTGCTTTGCCAGTGGGAAACTTGCCAAGCCAGGCACTGAACAGCCCCAAAGGGCCACTGCAAGGACCTCGGCAATTCAAACCTACTCACTTAAAGCCATTAGTGCCCCAGTGTTTACGCTGCTCTCCCTCTAGCCAACAAGGCATGGATGGATCCCAAACAGAAGTGGTAATGAGGTCCTAAGCAGCCTCGCGGCTTCAGACACAGAGACACTGGAGCAGAGCGGGCCAGTTCGGTCAGCTGCAGGGAACCGAGGCACACAGAGGCCCGTAGTCCACTGTTACTGGCTCACATGGGACTGTAAGGCAAATGTGATCCTGACACATTGTTCTGGCATGCATAATAGGGCCTTTTCAGGGCCCCTCAGGGGAGACCTGGGAGCCTGATCTTAAAGAAGTAACGTGACGTTGGCTTGATGGTTCTCCCTCCTCTCCACTTTTGTCTAACAGCCTTGTTTATAAGAAGTTGTCCTATGACTCATGTCCACCTGCATTTCCATTAGCTGGACAATGCAGGACAGATAATGTAGCAGCTGCTCAAACGGGGTTACTCAGGAAATGGTAACCTAATGAGCAAATCAATCACACTGTCGTAATGATCTCTCATCTCATTCTGTCTCTCTGTTTTTTAGAATGGTCAGGCCAGGCTGTCCAGTCATTCTGCTCCACCTCTTCAGCATCTTGGTACAGACGGGAGGTATAAGGCATCCACATCAATTCATTTAACCTTTAGGGTGGAGATAAGTACATTTAACAAAGTTCCCACAGTCATGGAAAACCAGGGTGTTTCATATTTTTGGGACGTAGTATTTAAAAGAAGCATCCCCGAAGGTTTTTGTAGTGACATTAGGAACAGCTAGAAGTGCAGCTGTGGAGGATCTCAGGGTTCGTGGAGGGACATAAGGTGATAGGGAGTCTATGATATTAGAGGGGCAACGCCATTAGGAGCCTTAAAAACCAACAGATGGACTTTGAAATCGATTCTAAAAGATACTGGGAGCCAGTGTACGTTACGTAAAACTGGAGTTATGTGGTCTCTCTTTTTAGTTTTTGTTAAGACCCTGGCAGCAGCAGCGTTCAGAATGGTCTGTTGTTTTGCAATGGCAGTTTTAGGTAGGTCAGTGTATAGAACGTTACAATAATCAAGACGACTGGAAACAAAAGCATGAACAAGCCTCTCAGAGGTCGTACCTTAGCTATATTGTGTAAATGACAAAATATAGTTTTGGTCATTGCATCAAAATGAGCTTTAAATTTGAGATCAGAATCTGCAGTTACACCAAGAAAGTGACACAAATACCATAGCCAGACAGCAGACACAGTAAAATTCATAAAACGTTATTATAGGTTCTTGAAAAGTCATGGAAAAGCTTTGGAATGTTGTCCATGAAAATGTGTGGGAACCCTGATTTAATGAGCTCTTATGCATTACTCTCCTTTTAGCTAGTTCTCAGGATATCCTGTATCCATATGGACCCGGCCATAGAGATCTAGAGACCCCAAAGATGGATGATGGGAGTTCTGCTGAAATCACTTTGCTCATTCCATTCATTTTCTTCAACATCCCATACCGTTCCATCTATGTAAGCCTTGATCAAAACTCTCAAACTCTTGTAACAAACCACTGACGAATCCATCTGACGCTGAAGTATAACCCTGTCTGTTCTGTCCACAGGTCAACAACAATGGCGTGATCTCCTTCAACGTGCAGGTTAGCCAGTTCACACCGGAGGCTTTTCCCCTGAGTGACAGCAGATCGTTCATTGCTCCGCTCTGGGCAGATGTGCACAACGGCATCCGCGGAGATGTGTACTATCGAGAGACCACAGAACCGGAAATACTGGAAAGGGCGACGCAAGATGTGCGGAAGTACTTTAAAAACATGCCCACCTTCACGGCTACCTGGGTCTTTATTGCAACATGGCATCAAGTCACCTTCTACGGAGGAAGCCAGACAACCCCGGTAAAGTCCAAACACCGCATGAAACATTTTGGTTACACATTTCAATACTGGCGCTGTTTAGCCTGTCCTAACAACTGCTAGGTCATCAAAAAAGCAAATCTTGTGCCGCAGGGAGGACATTTATTCGTATGCCAAGTTAGCATCGTCCTGGTTACTGCAACAAAAAGCCAGTGAGATCTTCCCATTAGATTTTGGATTATTGCAGAAAATAAGCTCCGTGGCTCTGTTTATAATACTTATATACTTAAGATATTCTTCACAAATGAGCACCACTTTTCAGATTTTTGAAGCAGAAATTCAATCGCCAGAAGCAAAAAGCTAACATTAGGCTTTAAACAAACTACACCACGGTTGCATGCCTTCAGTGTCACCAACACAACAAAGCTGGAATGATGTCCTGTAGCCTCTTTCAGCCACTTGTTAGCAAACATCTTTTTTAAGACTTCAAAATTCACAAGTGGGGTATTTACTGATGTATTTTATCTCATAGAATAAAACGCGAAAGTCTTGTGTTAACCACATTATTTAAGGCATCCAACCAAAAAACCCATTGATTTTGAGACAAGGGAACTGGCAGTGCTAAAATGCTAACTCATTTCCGAGCTTCAGCCTTATAAACAGTGCGTAGGATCCATACCAAAAATTATACGTACAGACAAAAGTTGAAAATGGTGTGCGCTCAGTTCTACAGTCAGGCTTCCACCTCACCATTTACATCGCCAATTTCCTGTCTCCAAAATGTTCATAATCATGGATCAAAGTTTCTCCTATCAAGTCTGATTTAATAGATCACAACTTTTGCCTCCTTTAGGCCTCGTTTTGTGCGTGCACAATGTTTATAAATGTAACTGCAGATCGCTCACCACAGAGTGTCAAAGCGGCCTGTTGAAACTGCAGAAGGCTGCCAAAGCTGTACCACTGTGTTACTGCCCAAGTCACCAGCCAGTAGAGACTGCCAGATGCTCTCTGACAGGGAGAGCGTGCCTACAGTGTTAATCCTGCTGTGACAGCCTTGTCATGAGGTGCCAACAGAGATATTGAAATGGAAACTACAGGGAATTTTTAAGTTTTGAAAGGAACCAATCCCCTTTAAGACCCTCTACATTGCTGCCCAACCATTCCTGACTCCACTCACACCTCTCTCCACAGAACTACCAGCTATAGCTAATAGAGCTGCAGCTGTGGAGTCCTTCACAAGTGGGACATTTTTTGAATGTTGAAGTGATTCTTCTCCATTATGGTACTCTTGTTTTTTTGCATGTTATGTCTGTTTTTCTCTTTGTAAAACTATTTTCATCCTCTTGTTTGATTAAAAGGTGAACACATTCCAAACTGTACTCATCTCAGATGGCGTGGGGTTCTTCAGTATGTTCAACTATGGAGAAATCACATGGAGCACAGGAACAGCCAGCGGTGGAGATCCTTTAACAGGACTGGGTGGCACGACAGCTCAGGTATTCTCACAAAGTCCCCAAGATCATTTTATACATTTGATCATCCTTTTATATTAAAGACATTGTATGATAAACATTTCACCTTACGTCCCTCACACCTTTCCCCTTTTCAGTCAGGTTTTAATGGCGGAGACATTGGTCACTTCTTCAACCTGCCAGGATCACGCTCAAATGATGTGGTGAACATTGAACAGACAACCAATGTTAATATCCCTGGGCGATGGTTCTTCCGCGTTGACACTGAACTGATCGATCCTGCCAATGGCTGCAGCTACAATGGCAAGTTTAAGTTCCAGTTATGCCCATGTGGATTTATCTCATGCAGAACTGTATGTAAATATTTCTTCTGTCTTTCCTACATCCTCTCCAGGGCGATTTTACAGACGAGGGGAAATCTTCTGGCTCTCTGACCAGTGTTCACAGCGATGCCGCTGCCTTGACATTGACAACGAGGTGCATTGCCAGGAGGCTCCATGCGGGCAGTTGGAGACCTGCGAGCAGCAGGAGGGGGCCTTTTACTGCCAGCCAACCCGCACCAGCACCTGTGTGGTATTTGGCGACCCTCATTACCACACCTTCGATGGCTTCCTCTATCACTTCCAGGGAACCTGCTCCTACCTGCTGGCTCGGCCCTGCTGGGAGGTGGCTGGGCTGCCCTTCTTCACTGTGGAGGCCAAAAATGAGAACCGTGGGGTCACCTCGGTTTCTTGGCTCAGAGACGTGACAGTGGATGTGTACGGACACCGAGTCACGTTACCCAAAGGCAGTTTTGGAACAGTCCAGGTGAGAATCTGTGGATTCCTTTTATGTGAGGAATTACCATAATATTTTTCTTGTGTTTGCCTCTTGGTTTGGCTGATGTGAATTTTGGATTTGGGTTATGTGGCTGCATTTAAACTTTGCTGTGAAGATCTTCTTTGACTACATTGAAGGGTGATTTTGACAGTAAACAGATCTATAATTACCTTTTGGACGCATCTACCTGTTTTTCATGATATCAGAATACAAGTTGGCTGCAACCTGTTCTCATTCCTGGGTCATGAAACACAGACACTTTGTCCCCACCCCCAGGTGTCTCATAGTGACGTACAGGGCGCAAATTTGCAAATCTTGTTTTGTTTGACCCATCCACCTCCTGTCCCTCCTGCCCTACACATTGCTTCCTCTTGCTCTTTATACTACATCATTTGCTCTCAGCATCAAGTTTTGCTGCAGGTGGGTTTACATTTGAGTTAGTTGAAACCCAATGCATCTTATAAAGACACTAACGGGTGCCTTTGGCATCATTATCACACACAGAGGGGGATGAAGAGGGCTGCATGTTGACGATCCAGGATGCCAGCATATATTGACAATGGACAAGTTTTCTACCTTCATCCTTTGTTCCTTTTCTGATTTTCCCTCTATTCTTTCTCTAGGTGGACGGCTTGGTGAAGACTCTACCGGTCCAACTCCAGCTTGGTGCTGTTAGGGTTTACCAGTCTGGGGTTGCCATTGCTTTAGAAACAGACTTTGGACTCTTAGTTACCTATGACGGCCAACACTATGCATCCATCTCCCTGCCCAGCTCTTACTTCAACAACACTTGTGGCCTTTGTGGCAACTACAATGACGACCCTGCTGATGATCCCGTGCTTCCTGACGGCTCTCTAGCAGATAGTGTGGTGGAGTTAGGAGGCAGCTGGCGAGCAGAGGACCCAGACTGGAGGTGTACAGATGGCTGCGCCCAGAACTGCAGCGTGTGTGACCCTCTTACAGAAGCCTTCTACTTTCGCTCAGACTACTGTGGGCTCATCAACAAAACCGATGGACCTTTTAGGGACTGCAGAGCCGTAGTGGACCCTACAGCCTTTGTGTATAGCTGTGTATATGACATGTGCAGCAACAGGGATAATATCACCACACTCTGTCAGGCCATCCAGGCCTATGCTCTGGCGTGCCAGGCCCTTGGTGTCACGATACGACCCTGGAGATCTCGCACCTTCTGTGGTGAGTTTCAGTTTGAATTAGCTTACATAGATTCTTCATCTTACATGTACTAGTGTCATCTGACACTCTTTCTCTTACTGGTTCTCAGCTTTGTCGTGTCCGGAGTTCAGCCATTACCAAGTGTGCACAAGTGCCTGCCCAGCCTCTTGCTCCGACCTCACCGCTCCCCTGTACTGTGCTCACCCTTGCACTGAGGGCTGTCAGTGTGACCAAGGCTACGTTCTCAGCGGCAGTCGTTGTGTACAGCGTGAAGACTGTGGCTGTGAGCATAACGGCCTCTATTACCCCCTTAATCAAACTTTCTGGGCAGGTCCCAGTGGTGAGGAAGGTGAATGTGCCCTCCGCTGCACCTGCGGGCCTGCTGGGGAAGTCTCCTGCTTCAACGAGTCCTGCAAAGAGGGCGAGGTGTGCGTGGCGGAAGTGGGCTTGCTGGGTTGCTACCCTCGGAGGGAGGGAGTGTGCTCAATCACTCAGAACTCGGTGACGTCTTCCTTTGATGGCACCTTCCTGCTGTTCCCAGACGACAGCTCCTACTACCTGTTGAAGCTGTGTGGCGCAGTGCCGGCTAATGGCTCCATGGTGGAGGTGAAGATTGGCAGGCGGCTGATGAACAAAGGCCCCACTTGGAAAAGACCTGTGATCGTTACAGTGGCTAACCTGGAAGCTCAGATGGGAGGGACAGATTTTGATATAGTAAAGGTTAGTATTCTCTCTGCAGAGCAAAAACCTTTTTGTTATCTATACTTAACAAAAATTTAAATGCAACACTTTTTGTTTTTGCTCCCATTTTTTAAAGGTTTAAATTAAAGATCCAAGACTTCTTTTTTATACACACAAAAGACTTGCACAACGTGATTTTTATTGGGACCATCCCAAAGCACACCTATATCATAATGATCCTGTTTAATCAGCATCTTGATATACCACACCTGTCAGGTTGATGGATTATTTTGGAAAAGGAGAAGTGCTCACTAACATGGACTTTAACTAAGACCAAAATTTGAAAGAAATATATCTATTGAGTCAATGAAGAAAGTCTTAGATCTTTAACTTAAACCTGTAAAAATGGGAGCAAAAACAAAAGTGTTGCATTTAAATCTTTGTGCAGGGTATTTTCAGCGGTTGCATACCTATGGCTTTGACACCTTTTTGTGTTCCAGGTGAATGGTGAACCAGTGGCTCTCCCATTTGTCCATCCAATGGAGACAATGATGATCTACAGAGCACCAGGCAATGCTACAGTGGTGGAGTCCCGTGGTCTGCTTCGTGTCCAGTACACTCGCCAGGGGCTCCTCAACATCTCCCTCTCCACCCTCTACTACAATGTTACATGCGGCCTATGCGGTGTCTTCAACAGCAATGCCACCGATGACCTTCGGCTTCCAAATGGACGTCTGGCGGAGTCTACTGAACAGTTCACAGAGAGCTGGCGGTCCATTGCTGATGACCTCACCTGTAACGGTGACTGTGATGACCTGTATCGAATGTGCACAGACTTGCGTCTCTACCAGAGTCCTTGGATGTGTGGCAACATCAATGACCCGGGGAATAGTTCATTTCTGGCTTGTCATGCAGTGGTCAACCCTTCGCCGTTCTTCAGGAACTGCTTGTATAACATGTGTGTGAGGGAAGGGAATCGTTCAGCCCTGTGTTCCTCGCTGCAGGCGTATGCCACCGCCTGTCAGGATGCTCAAGTTGGCCTCGCTTCCTGGAGGAGTGCCACCAACTGCCGTGAGTTGAAATATCTTTTCTTTAAAGAAATACACTGGTATTCTGGTTGTCTGGCATCAAGTGGCGTTGTCACATCGTCTCTTTCCAGAAATCATGACCTGGTTACTCAAGATAAATCACAGACCTTCTTGTGTAGGAACTATATTCTTTCTACCGAATTATACCCTCCAACAGTATCACCGCTCAGAATGAAGCGTGATTTACTTATGGACGAGAGGCTCTTGGTTGTGACAGTGCAAGATTAAAAACAGCAATGGCGTCCTCCTCAGCTGAGCTTTAACATTAGCTGGCTAAGGTGGGCTAGCAGTAGTCTCTCATCTATGTGTAGATCCACATTTCCTTCCACATGGTGATTCGTTTGGTGGGTGGAGTTTGGTAAAAAAAAAAAAAAAAAAAATGGCGGATATCTCCAGCACTTGGCAACTCACACCAAAATAATCTAAACTGATAAATAGACTCACAGGTGAGAGGACAAATATGTATTTTTGATTTTGATGTGAACTGTCCCTTTAACCTGAATCCTCCTTGCTCCCATCAGAGCACCCTTGTTCCTTTATTGCTCCCAGATAAATCAGATTAAGAGACCTGTTTCACAGCAGTCATTTGTCAAAGCAGGAAATGCCCAGGTGGAACTAATAATGATGATGAGTCTGTTCCAGCAATTATTGAAATGCAATTTAGCAGATAATTAAGTTATTAGTCATACTTGTCTCTGACATGTGAAAGGAAAAAGGTCTGTCTGTATTCCTCTTTAGTTCCACTCCACAGCTGCTCTGTAGTGTCTCACTAATTTATACCTCTTCTTTAAACGTAGACGCCACCACAAACTTGTTTTATCACTCACGCCTTGTCGGCTAAGGGCTTGTTCTTACAAGGACCCCAACTGATTTACAACATTTACTCAGATTCCAACAACAATCCAGTTTCAAAATGTCCATTGAAACATCTCAACCCACCGCTTCAGCAGAATCCACCTCCCAGCTGACTGTTCATGTGCTCCATATTCTCCCAAAAATCGTACTTATGCCAAAATATGGCTTGATTTACTGCTTCCATTTGTTGCTAGCTCAGTTAGCTTTGAAATGTGTCCTTCGCAACCAACATGAGAAAACTTCAAGTCTGACACAGCTAGTTGTGCTTTGTATTAAGTCATATTTTTGACCAAAAAAAAGCCCCAGGGTTGTATGCCTCTGCGCACAGGTCAAGTTACACTTACAGTTTACGTCCATGTCTGTGAAAACATGAATGCTTCACACACATCTTCCCCCGGCAGCACAGAAGATCTGTACAATCAGGACAGTTTCAAGGTGGACACCCAAGATTAGTGTCACCAATTCAGTATCTGGCCAAATGTCTCTCCTACTGTTCCTAAGATATGACGTTGAGTGATGGCCAGAAAAGTGTTTTATGCAAAATTTTAAAATTTAATCAGAGTGATAGTAAATAAGCAGATACACCGCACACAAGAGGGCCGAATTGCTTCTTCTTTTAATATTAATCTTTTAATTTAGTCGTCAGTTGAAATGTTTCAAATGAAGACTAAATTAAAAGAAGAAGCAATTCAGCTTTCTTCTATGCAGTGTATCTGCTTATTACTATCAATCTGATGTTTCGTGCCATCACCTACACCAAGTTGACAGCGTTGTGCACGGGGCATGTGCTTTTTTTTCATAAAGTTGAATCACTTAATCATTTTATCCTATTAGACATTTGTGTGAGATTTTGTAAAATAATAAGTAATCAGTGTATGAATTCCTGAGTTACAGCCAAATATATTTTTGTGAGGTCACAGTGACCTTGACCCTTGAGCTTTGACGACGAAATTCTAATCAGTTTATTATTCAGTCCATGTGGATGTTTGTGTTTGAAGAGATTCACTCACTCTTCTTGAGATATTATATTCACAAGAATTAGATGGATGCAAGGTCACAGTGACCTTTACCTTTGACCACAAAAATCGAATCAGTTTAGACTTCAGTACAAGTGAACGTTTGTGCCAAATTTGGACAGTTTTAAAAGTTTTAAGAAATTCCCTCAAACTTTCAAAGTTTTAAAAATTTCACTGTAATCTCTAAAGTGGCTCCATTGTAAGCTGTTAGTTACATCCAGGTCCAGTGTTTGAAATATCTTAGTGACAAGGAGGTCATAAAATTGATATTGCTTTCACAGGAATGGGACAGATGGACAACCTGAAAACATAATCTCTCCGTCCATGGCTTTCGCTGGCACAGAGGCATAAAAACATACTGAGCATTTGGACAAACACTTGAGTGTTGGATTGAAGTGCAGGAGTGGTTTCAGAACACAGACATTTTTTATTTGCCACAAATTTGGTCACTGGTAGAATCCATTTTTACAGTGGTGAGTCCAAACTGTCTACAGCTGCTGCCAAAGGGCAGTGTTAAAGCTCCTCAGAGCCACCACTCAGTCCCACAGTGAGTGACTCCAAACAATGGGTTTTGGAATATAGTTGTAATATGGATTTTGCTGTTGTCCTTGCCGCTGTCTCACCTTCTCCTACCTTGTTCTTCTGTCCCAGCTCTTCCCTGTCCACCGAACAGTCATTTCGATGAGTGCACCACTGCCTGCCCTCTGACCTGTGCCAACTTAGATGAACCCGAAGAGCCGTGCCCTCTGCCATGCCAGGAGGGGTGTCAGTGCGAGGACGGCTTTGCGCTCCGCGACGGCCTGTGTGTGGCACGCAGCGATTGCGGCTGCATGAGCCACGGGCGCCAGCTGGCCACTAATCAGACTTTCTGGACAGACTGGGAGTGCCAGGAGCGTTGCTACTGCAATGGCTCTGACAACAGTGTGTACTGTCAGCTCTCACCCTGTCACCCTGAGGAGTACTGCCAGGAGAATGACGGCCTGTACTTCTGCCAGCCGCGCACTGAGGCCCTGTGTGTGGTAGCAGGTTATGGACATTTTCTGCCATTTGGTGGCGTCCCGTTTGAGCTGCAGAGCTCTTGTACGCTTAGGATGGCCACCACGAGCTGTGGGAGAGGGAACAGGGACCCGGCGACCATCAGTGGAGCTTTTCCTCCTTTTAAACTGGCAGCTCGTAACGAGGAAAGGGACACAGGCCAGGCGATTTGGGTGAGGGGCTTCGTACTGGAGGTCTACGAGTATGAGATTGAGGTCTCTCGAAGCTACAAAAACACTGTGACGGTGAGTGCACAAAGAGTGAATGAAACAACAGACATGATTATTATTACCTGTGATAAGGATAACGTGACTTTCCTGTGTGAAACCTGAAGGTCATAGTTGTTGTATTTGTGAGGGCATGTTATTTCTAATCAAGCCGATTGAATAACCAGGCAGAGGGTGAATTCCTCTTTGATTGGCTTAAGGTGGATCTAATTTCAATGGGCATCTTTTATCAGGCTGGATTTGGCTCAGACAAAACCCCGACCCTGAGCGACATTTGGACTGGGTTCACAAACCGACTAAAAGATCTGAGGAGGAACAGAAATGACACACACGAACCAACGCTCACACTCACACATTTTCTCTCATACTCTCCGTTTCTGTCTTTTCTCTCTTATACAATTAGATTATATGAGTAACACATAAAAGCTCCTTTCAGCGTCTTCATGTTATTTATTACCTGGACTTCCCCACATAACAACGTGCAGGTCACATGGATTAGAAACTATGCCTAAAAATGCTTCTGTAGGAATGTGTTTGTTCGAGCTGATGCTGATCCCAGAATAACAGTTAGAGGGATACTTTGCTGAATTTCAACCAGCTCTGTATCACAGCAATATGATTAGTATGTGTAAATGACCTATGGTAAACTTCTCTCCATCTTGCCAGCGATTAGATCTCCCTGCTCATCTCCCAGCTCAAATTTGCTGGATGACACATTGCTCATCTTTTGGCATATTTTTGCTGGATCTAGAGCTGTTGCTCGAACTACAGATTGGACCTCCGCAGACGCCTCTCGCTCTCTCAAAGATTATGTTGTTGTTTTGCCTATTTCTCACCTAAAATGTTTTTAGAGATGTATTTTAGCACACTGTTTAGCTGTATTATGAGGGTTTGTATACAGGAACTGGGTGCCAGACTGTGTCCTGTATTGTGTAAACAGTGGCTGAAAAAAAAATGAGATCAAATGGTGAAACTAAGCAGCGCTGATCAAATATGAATTCAGATTCTGATACTGCGTTGCCTATTTCTCACCTTGATTTTTTAGAAAGAGTCCTAAGGCCGCACGAGGTTCCCTCACGGTTCCCTCGTCTTGAAGTCAGTGTATTTTTTGAATGGGTTTTTGGTTCCATGCCTGAAATAAGGTCTGTGGTTAACACAAGCTTTAGAGACTCTCACGTTTTGTTCTACAGCATAAAATACGTCAGTTAATACCCCACTTGTGAACTTTGAAGCTTCTTTGGGCCTGTCCCAATACCCCCCCTTAACCCTACCCCTTTGCCCTACCCCTACATTTGCGCATTCCCGTGAGGGGTAGGGGTGTCCCAATTTCTTTTTGTGTGTAGGGGTAGTGGGCATAACGAGGGGTAGTGGGTATGAAACTAGCCCTTCGGAGCGAGGGATTTCAGATGCTGACTTGCCAGTGAGGGGTAGATGTCGCCATGGCTACCACCGAGCAAGAGACGGGGGAAAAAGTTCATACATAGCTAACGTTACCATTGTCAGGTTGCTTGTTAGCTAGCTAGCTGGCTCACACTATCTGGCGTCTGTCATCTGTCCTGTTCTGCAAAATTGTCGGATTTTCCACATTACGATAACATGCCAGCTAGTATAGTTATGCTGCCTTGTAATATTAGCTGGTTAGCTAGCTAGCTAGCTAGCTAGCAGAAGTCCCCTGTCATCTGTCGTTCATCAAACGAAGCATGATGAATACAACAAACGCGATAGGTAGGACAAACTCAACCGGAGACTCCATTGTAGATGCCGGATGGAAATGTAGATGGCTCGCACTTTCCTGTTTAAAATAGTTACGTATGCGTGAACGTAACCGACGCGGTGACGTAGTGAGTGGTGTCCCAATTCCTAGGGAAAGACTTCAACCCCTACCCCTCGTTGCTTCATTTCGAGGGCCAAGGGGTAGTGGGCAAGGGCTAGGGGTAAGGCCAAGGGGTAGGGCCAAGGGCTATGGGGTAGTGGACAAGGGCGGGTATTGGGATTGGGCCTTAGTGTCTTAAAAAAGGTGGTTGCACTACAAGTGTTAAAATGAGACTACAGAATGTCACCACGCTGAGCATGGCTTTATGGTTTTGTCACAGTGGTCACATTAGGTCATGCAACCATGGTGTAGTTTGTTTACAGCCAAACGTGTTGGCCGACAGAAAAACATCCCTGGGGCACTCTATACAAGATCATTTGTTGCCACCAAGCCACCATATTGTTTCCAGACAGTGCTCTCACATCTTGTTGTCCACCAGCTGCTGTATTTATCATACCTGTGCAGTGCAGTGCATTCTGGTAGTTGTAGGTGCTCTACTTCTTGAGCTAAAGCAAATGCCACAGCCTTCGATTTTTTTTTACTGGTTTCACTGGTCATGTCGCACCAATTTTAAAAGTATCTGTGTTTCTACTGCATAGACAGCCCAGTTTTATGACCCTAGGAATGACATATTTTACATATTTTTTTCTTAAAATTTGTCAGATATTTATAACACAGCTTAAATTATAGATTCAGGTCTTCTTAACAAAGTAATACAGAATAATGCACATTAAAATGTTCTTTTTTTTTTTTTTTTTTTTACTTCACCAAGGTCTTTTATGCACACGTACTGTACTGTGAAGTCATTTTAGTCTCTCGCCTCCCAAAAAAAAGACTAGAATTCCACTGAAACCATTTTCAGGAAGTGACATATTTATTTGGGAGGGAACTGAAATGAGTATAGTAGGGTGAGCATGAATCTTACTCATGTTTTTTTTTTTTACATTCATCCATTCATTTTCTGTAACCACTTATCCTGTTGGGGGTCGCAGGGATGCTGGAGCCTATCCCAGCTGACACTGGGCGAGAGGCAGGGTACACCCTGGACAGGTCACCAGACTATCACAGGACTGACACATAGAGACAGACAACCATTCACACTCACATTCACACCTACGGACAATTTAGAGTCACCAGTTAACCTGCATGTCTTTGGATTGTGGGAGGAAACCGGAGTAACCTTTGATTCAGAGGAATAAAGGAATCTATAAATAATAAAAAAATTAATAGACTGATCATCAATATGTTTTCCTAAAAGTTAAACATGTCACTATTTTTATTTAGTGTAAAAAAAACATGAAATATGTGTACCATTTTTTTCCCAAAGTAATGTTGCTGAACAGGAATGACTCTTTTATTAAATTTCTCTTCACCCAGGTGAATAAGGAGCGTCTGTACCTTCCTCTGAAGCTGGGCCCGGGGAAGGTCAACGTCTTCACCTGGGGCATGCAGCTCATTCTGGAGACAGATTTTGGCCTAAAGGTGGCCTTTGACTGGAACACCCTTCTCCTGTTGACTCTGCCCCGTGACCTCTACAACACCTCGTGCGGCCTCTGCCAGGGTATGCCCTTATCCCCTCCCACCCTCACCACCACAGACTGGGGCATGGCCTGGGCCGAGAGGGACACCTTCTGCCAGGTGGGCTGTGGAGACTCCTGCCCACGCTGCGGCCTGGGAGAGACGAGCGTGCTAAATGACTCCCCTCTCATGGTGGCCGATGCCAACATGAACATGGACACAGACAATGGAGCTAATGAAGTCAGCAATGGCATACGTTTCCACATCGGGGATGGACTGTATGTGTTTGTGGAGCCCGAGGCAGTGAGGCTGTGTGGGCTAATTGTGGATCGAGGAGGTGTGTTTGCACGTTGTCACAGCAAGGTGGCGCCAGCGTTCTTTTATCAAAGCTGCCTGCAGGACACCTGTTTGGACCAGGGAGCTCAGGATACAATCTGTAACTGGCTGCAGATATATGCCGGCACCTGTCAGACCCAAGGGGTGCCTGTTACTGGCTGGAGGAGCGACACGCCGTGTGGTGAGTGCAAGTCTGGGCTCACCGTAATTTCACCATATGCATTGATGATGTGTGCAGTGGTACAAAGGTCTCCCCTTGTATTACAGAACGTATGTTATTACCTCTGGTGGTATCTACTCATGCAGACATTTTAGTTTCATTTGTCCAGGCTTTAAGATATCTGTCACTAAAATATCAACAGCAGCATGCCTCTCTAGGAAAATGTCTGTTACTGTAAATAATCCACAGATCACACTGTCAGCAGCATAAATAGGGACTATTTCTTTGGTGAAAAGAAGTTCCGGTAAAAACTGTGGACAGCAAAGTCTGTTGATTATTTACAGTAACAAGAACTTTGTTTCTGTGGAAGGCATGGATGGATTACTGAACCAGCCTACAAGTGTCAGTGGAGCCCCTCGGCCTTCACCTGCAAATTGTTACATTTCAAATTAACATGCACCAGTGAGGAAGACACTCAAAAATACCACAAGACACACGAAAACGCCACAAAGAGTTGCAAAGTAACTGTAAAGAGACAAAATAACAAAACAGGCAAAAACAACCACAAAGTGGCACAAAGCAACTACGAGAGACAGAAAACAACCACAAGGAGAAACAAAATGACTGCAAAGTGACAAAAACAACCAAAAAAGACCCAAATTACCCTAAATAGACACAAAATTATCTTGGTAGGACACAAAATTACCTTAAAGAAACTCAAACGGCTACAAAAAAACACAAAACAACTACAAGAAGAAACAAAATCACTAAAAAGTGACAGAAAACAACAAAAAAGACCTGAAATTAACCTTAAGAGACAAAAATATCTTTATAGGACACAAAATTACCGTTAAGAAACTCAAACGGCTACAAAAAGATACAAAACAACTACAAGGAGAAACTAAATGTCGACAAAGTGACACAAAACAACCAAAAGAGACCCAAAATTACCCCAAAGAACCCCAAAATTATCTTAGTAGAACACAAAATTACTCAAACTGCTACAAAAAGGCTCAAAACAACCACAGGGAGAAAAAAATAACTACAAAGCAACACAAAACACCCAAAAATAACCCACAGAGACACAAAATTCCCTTAAAGAAAATCAAACGGCTACAATAAGACATAAAACAACCACAAAAACAAACAAAATGGCTACAAAAAGACACAAAATAGCCACAAGAAGATACAAAAATTACCCCAAAGAGACACAAAATTATCTTAATGGGACACAAATTTACCTTTGAGAAACTCAAACGGCTACAAAAAGACACAAAACAATCAGAAAGAGACAAAAGTATAAAAAATTACACGAAAACACCTAAAACAGACTAAAGACCACAAAAAGATGCATAACAACTAAGAAGGGACGCAAAACCACCACAAAGTCTGTGTGTCTTTGCTTCTATGTAGGAGAGGTGGTGGGGCCTTATGTATACCTGCGCCAAAGGGGCCCATTGTTGACTGTTCGTAGGGTGTTTTCACATATAGTCCTTTTTAAATGAACCAAACTCAGTCCTCTTAAAGTGTACCAAAAAGTGGACCAACAGAAAAGGGACTCAGTTCTTTTTGTGTTCACATTGTCAGGTCATTTGAAAGAGGACTCAGTTCTCTTCCTGGTCAACCTCAGCTCTGATGGGGCCTCAGTCCTCTTTCTGTTCACACTATAGCCTAGCCTATATATAATATATGATATATATTGACATGGTTTTGTTTTTACTTTGACGTGGCACTGCAGTGCGGGACCAAGTGTGAAAATACCCTACTGTTGAAATTACAGTTAAATGTTCATGCAATTTTTTGCACAATGAGCACCACAAACCAAATCCAGTCAGCTCCATTGTATTTGGTTTAAGGTGGAAAGTGTATCTCAAACCCTGGGCACATAAAACCCAAAGTGAGAGGACATATCATTTTTTCATTTGGGTGAACTGGCTAAAACAGCAATATGAGGAGATATGAATATAAACATTTGGCACAGTCACTGCGCCAGCTGCTGCTGCAGAAAATAGTTCCATCACTCAACTCCCCCTAAACTCCCCCTGTGTTTTTATGCCTCTGCGCTGGCGATAGCCGAAGCCGGAGGCGTTGTGCTTTCGGGTTGATAATAATAATAAACTTTATTTATATAGCACCTTTCAAAACACAGCTACAAAGAGCTTTACAAAACCGAATACAGAATACACAGAGCAGAGTAAAACAGGCAATAATAAAGCAGTTAAAATCACTGAAAGGAAGTTTTGATATTTGTTTCAAAAGATGAGACTGAGTTTGCGGCCCTGACCTCCTCAGGCAGGTCGTTCAAAATCCTGGAGCTCTGACTGCGAAGGCTCCGTTACCTTTGGGAATTAATCTAGGAACAAGGAGAAAAGATGCATCTGAGGATCTCAGGGTGCAAGAAGGAACGCAGGGCAAGATTAGATCTGTTATATAATTTGGAGTGAGGCCTCCCAGGGCCACTTGGACTCAACAATGAACTGATTGGATTTTGGTGGTCAAAGGTCAAGGTTAGTGTGACCTCAGAAAAAAGTGTGCCCTCAGAAAAAGAAAATTCACACAAATGTCTAATAGGATGGAATGATGTAGTGATGGAATATTCACGTGCAGTCAGAAATAAACTGTTTCTATTTTTTTGGTCAAAGGTCAAGGTCACTATGACCATGCATTCATCTAATTCTCATGAATACAATATCTCAAGAACACTTTAAGGGAATTTCTTCATATTTGGCAATAAACATCCCATTGGACTCAGCGATGAACTGAGTAGATTTTAGTGGCCATAGGTCAAAGATCAAGGTCACTGTGACCTTGTCTGTCTCGTTAACACCATATCTCAAGAACTGGAATGAATTGTTTCAAATTTGGCACAAATATTGACTTGGATTTAGAGATAAACTGATTAGATTTTTGTGGTCAAAGGTCTTAGTCACTGTGACCTTGCATCCATCTAATTCTTATGAATAGGATATCTCAAAAACACTGAAAGAGAATTTCTTCAAATTTGACACAAACGACCACTTGGACTAAGGAATAAACTGATCAGAATTTGGTGGTTAAAGGTCAAAGGTCAGGGTCACTGTGACCTCAATAAACATGTTTTTGTCCATAATTCAAGAATTCTTGCGCTAATTATGACAAAACTTATCATCAATGTCCAAAAGGATTTAATGATCAAGTAATGGCATGTCATATCCGTAAGGTCAAAGGTCACTGTGACATCATAATGTTCTGCATAAAACACGTACTTGGCTGGTTTTAAACGTCATATCTCAGAAACAGAAGTGGACACATTTGATCAGACACTTAATCGGTGACACTAATCTTGGGTGTCCACCTTGAAACTGTGCTGATTGTATAGATCTTCTGTGCTGCTGGGTGAAAGATGTGTGTGAAGCAACCAATGTATTCACAGATATGGATGTAAACTACAGTGGTGGAAAAAAGTTTTCGGACATGCATTTGTGAAATATTGCATTAAGAATCACTCTTAGGTCTTCAAGTGCAATTTCTTTTAGTACAGTCACAGCCAAAATACTAAATAAATCCTAAAAAGCCATTTAAACTTAAAATTGATTGGTTCCATAAAAATACATAAGAAATTTTGAGTATTGGGTCATTTTGGTACCAGTGATGAATGTTGTTCTTTTTATTAAAAGACACAATTTTTGTTGCCAAGCTTCGTGTCTACATAAAGCCAGCACATTTGAAAGTTCTTCAGACACAAAAATGGCTAAAACAAGGAACCTAACGCAGGAAACACGGCTGAAGATAAAGACTCTCAGCCAGGAAGGGTACAGCTGCCGCCAGATAGCCAGGAAGTGCAGATGCAGTCCTTCAGCAGTTGGATACACTCTGCAGAAATACAGATGAACCAACAGCTTGGAAGACAAACCAAGATCTGGGCGTCCAAGGGTTTCTTCAGCAAGAAATGACCGCATCCTGATCCGCATGTGCAGGAAAAAAACGCCAAATGACATCACAGGAGCTTCAGCAGCAGTGGTCAAACCAAACTGGTGTCCAGTGTTCCACCCGCACTGTACGTGGCCGACTTTTAGATCATGGCTTAAGGTCCTACAAGGCTATCAAGAAGCCCCTGATCAATGAGAGACAGAGGTTAGCCCGGCGTCGTTGGGCCCAGGCACACAAGAACTGGACAGCCAGGAATTGGAAGAAGATTTTGTGGTCAGATGAGTCCAGTTTCCAGCTTTATCTTCCTCCTACTAATGTGAGGGTACGCAGAAGGCCAGGCGAAGCATTATCTCCAGCATGTACAGTACCTACTGTCAAGCATGGTGGAGGCAGTATCATGGTTTGGGGATGCATGAGTGCTGCTGGTGTTGGTCATCTCACTGTCTGTGATGGCACATTGAACTCTACCAAGTATTGTACCATTCTCGAAACCCACATGCTCCCTTCTGCACGTGCACTGTTCCGTCGAGGTAAAAACTGGATGTTTCAACAAGATAATGCCCCTTGCCACACATCCAAGGCCAGTAGAACTTGGCTGCAGGAGCGCAGTATCCAGGTCTTAGAGTGGCCAGCTCAATCCCCGGACATGAGCCCCATTGAAAATCTGTGGTGGATTATCAAAAGGTCTGTTTCAAAGCATAAACCAAAGAATTTAGAAGAATTAAAAGCAGTAATTCAAGAAGAATGGGACAAGATTACCCCTCAACAGTGTGAAAGGCTCGTGGGGAATATGCCAGCCAGGATTAGAGCTCTACTATGTGCCAATGGCAGGACTACTAAATATTAATTTGATGATGTGATGGTTTATTTATTTTTTGTTCAGTTTTGAACACATTCTCTGTTATTTGTTGACTTTGATACCGACAATGTTGAGAACTGACATATTGAAACTGTCAAGAATTTAGTTTTGTTAGTTTTTCTTGTAAACAATAAACAAAAAAATATAATTTGTATTTGTTTGTATCTGTCTAATGCAGCCACACCTTTTGAAACACAAAATATTTTTCCACAAATATTCCATGATAATATTTGAGATTGTGTAAAATTTTAAGGGTGTCCAAAAACTTTTTTCCACCACTGTATATGACAAACTTGACTTGTGCACGGGGACATCTGCACGGGTTATTCTAGTTTAAATTTATGGTTGTGTGCGGGTTAAACGAATTAGTGAGCTTTAGAGGTGTTGTTAGGGTTTTCATTTAATTCCAGTCTTTATGCTAAGCATGGCTAACCGCACCCTGACTCCAGCTCCGTATTTAACAGGCAAGTATTAAGCCCTGTTTCCACCAATCAGTTTGGTACGCTTTTTTTTCTGATTCCATTGTGAGAAGTTGTGGATGGTACCAATGGAACCATTACATACCGTCCCCATTTTTGGTCCCCCCTCTGTTGGGGTACCTAGCGCACAGATCTGGAGCTGTGAACACTGCAGTCTGATTGGTCAGTAGAGGACAGTCACTCTGCTCAGGGCTGAGTTGTGGCTGGTTTTGAGGCTCATGTAACCACTGTTCATACCGTGGCAAGTCTACATATGTAAGTAAACTTTAACTAAAATATAAAAGGATGTTTTGCTGCCTCTCACAGCAGCTGTAGACTGAGAAAAAATAACCTAATTCACTGGGCCGACTGCTGATGACTTTTAAGGTGGAACGTTAATGCACAAACATGATATTTTTAAATATTCCATGGAGAGAGACTCTGTTTTATTTTGCTCTGAAAATGTCAGCGTGCAACTTTGTTCTGTGGACGCTAAACGAGGTGCAGACTTCCATCTGTGTCACCTGTAATGAGGAAATACAGTGAGTGCTGGACGGAGCAGTGAGTGACAACAACCCTAACAGCACTGTTTGTGGTGAAAACTCGAAATGGACCTAGATTCTAGGTACCATGTCTGAAGGATTAGTTTTGGTTCCAAAGTTACCATACTGAAGATGTTTGGTGGAAATGGGGCTTCAAACTGATATTGATGTTCTCGTCGTCAAAATGTAGAACTATCCCTTTAAACAGCTTCTGGAGTGTACTCTCCAGTCAACCGTTCTCCACAAATATTTACCCCTGAAAAATCAACACCTATGTATACTGGAAGTATGTCCTATATGCACAGTGGAGTCGGTGCGATCGTTAGCTAATATCTTTGCCAACCTGCCTCCTCCCAGTCCAGAGCTGTCCACCTAACAGCCATTACTCCAGTTGTGTGTCGGTCTGCCCACCCCAGTGCGCCCCAGCCCGCGGCCAGAGGGACTGCAGCCAGGACTGTGTCGAGGGCTGCCAGTGCGACCAGGGCTACGTGCTCAATGGCAAAAGCTGCATCCTGCCTCAGAACTGTGGCTGCTACACTGATGGCAAGTACTATGAGGTCAGTCTCACATCCAGCACCACACGGAATAAACTCACTGATGTATGGAAGCAAAACTGAACACTAAATCAGGCTGGTGTTACAAACCTGCAGGGAAACTTTATTCAGCCTGAATAAATCTGAGGTTATGATTAGGCTGATTGTCTTTTTCACATTTTGACAAACACTTTTCAATTAACCAGTCAGTCGACTGATTGTTTCAGCTCTGATTTTAACAGAAGTCTTTATTTCAGCCCAAACAGCTGTTCTGGAACAGCGACTGCACCAAACGCTGCCAGTGCATTGGACGAAACCTGATCCAGTGTGACCCTAGGCGCTGTAAGGCAGAGGAGGAGTGCACCCTGCGCTACGGAGTGAGGGGCTGCTTTGCGCGGCGCTCCCAGCAATGCATAGCATCTGGCGGCGGGGTGTTCAGGACCTTCGATGGGGCGTCCCTACGGCTCCCTGCTTCCTGCTCCTTCGTCCTGTCCACTAACTGTCACAAGCTGCCCGACCTCTCCTTCCAGCTCATCGCCAACTTTGATAAATGGAGCACACCAAACCTCACCACCATCTCTCATGTCTACCTTTACATCAACGAGGAGAATATCCTCATCTCTGGCAGCACTGTTAAGGTGAGGGAAGCGTTGGACCATCATTGGTTTGTCAGTTTATCAGCCTACTGTAACAACACCTGTGTATCACCTGGGGATGGTTTATTAACTGTGTACCTGGAAAACCTTACTCTTCGCTTTTACTGCTTCACTCTCATTTAGTTGCCACAGTGCACCACTCATCTGTACTTGATACTGTTTATCTGAAGTATTTTGAATAATAAGGTCTAAAGTCCAGTTCAGACCAAACATTCGCGACAAGACAAAACGTTTTAGAACGTTGTGAAGAAAAGCTGTAGTGGTGGCAGATCTGAGCTCGACTCAAGCTGGCTGATGGTGTCACCTGCAATACAGCTGGCTGGTTTTAAAGCACATCACCTGTTTCAACAGCCAATCAGCTTGTAGTGAAGTTTGTTGGTCAGGTCAAAATGACCGCAGATGGCACGTTCGCTTGCTGCAGCAGGTGCTCCGTCCCCGCCTAGCCCTCTGTTTCCATCCTCACGTCTGCGGATGTTGGACGATGGGTCACTACTGCTTTTCACTGTACACTCATCAGTCAAAACATTAAAACCACTGACAGGTGAAGTGAACAACATTGACCATCTTGTTAAAGTGCAGTGTTCTATTGAGAAACCGTGGGCTCTGACATTCATGTGGATACCACCTGACACGCTCCCCCTGCCTAAACACCAGTGCAGACCAGGTACCCCCCCCCCTCATGGCAACGGCACTCCTCAGTAGCTGTGGCCCCGCAGCAGGATAATGCACCACGTCCTGCCACAAAAACTGCTCAGGAATGACCTGAGGAACGTGACAAATTGCTTAAGGCGTCAACCTGTTCTCCATATTCTCTGGATCCCGATCTGATCAAACATATATGGGACTTACTGTTACCCCACCTCACAGCTCACAGGATTCAAAAGATCTGATGGTAACACCCCAATACCAGGCACCAAAGGACACCACCCAGAGGCCCTGTGTCCATGCCTTAACAGGTCAGAGCCAATTCCAGTCCAAGGAAGACCCACTGTGGATTGGGATACCTCTGGGGTACCAGCATGTCCCTCAAATGTTCGATCAGATTGGGATCTGGGGTATTTGGAGGTCAGGTCGATGCCTTGACTTGGTCTGCAACAGTGTTGGGGTGGGTGGAGCGCATCAAGTAGCATCCACATAAATGCCAGGACCCAAGGTTTGCCAGCAGAACATTGTAACAAGATAATCAGTGTTACTCACTTCACTCACCAAGGGTTTTAATGTTTTGGCTGATCGGTGTATGTTTTTTTGTTTATGTTATCATCTTACTTTCCTCTGGCGATGTGCCGTCTGTCGTCAAAGATGCCTTTATCAAAGCTTCCCTCAAGAAACTAAACAAACAGATCCAATTTAAACCTCCCTTTTTCTTGCCAGAGTACTTGCAGTCCAATTTACCAATTATCACTAATAGCCTGGTAGAGCCCCTCCTGGCTTAAGGCCGTATCATTCCACTGAAAGTGCACTAAATAACAGTAAATAATGACTCGCTGATTGCTCTTAACTTTGGCTCTCAGTGAGTCTTAATCCTACTTGATCTGAGTGAGCCACATTTTTCTAAACTGCCTTAAGAGCTGTGTTGGGATCAGTGGCAATAAGCTCAGGTCACAAAAACAGTCATTACAGCACCAACTCAGATTGTCACTATCTTTGCTTTGGGCTGTCTGTTTCTCCTTTCTTTTCTGTCCTGCTACCCCTCAGTGATATCTTTTGTGAAAATGTGTAATATCTTGTTGTCAGACTTGTAGTACTACACTGTAGGATAACCTTGGCTTTAATTCTTAATCCTAATGTTCTGTTCGGGGTCCTGGAGGCTCTGATGCTCTTTAACCGCTCAAAAAACATACTTAAATTATTTTTCCATGATGTTTCCTTACTTCGTGAGAATGGCTTCTGAACATAATTTTGACCAAATTACATATTTTAAAAGTCCATTACTGTTTGTAGTCTCAAGCTGGATTTATACCCCTGTGTTGAATTGATGCCGTACCTACAGCGTAGCCTGACATGCACCTCCCCAGAAATGTCACGGCGATGCAGACTTCCTGGCTATTTATGTAAGCTGAAAAACAAAGCTTTTATTTACTTTAATTTCAAACAATAACTTGTAAGGACAAACCCCCCCCCACACACACACACACACACACACAAAATACCGTTATATGTCTTGTGTGATCTACCCTGGCTTCATATGAGCAGGGGAAATCTCCACTAGCGCTAAGCTAATTCATACAAAGTAAAATGCCATAGGTTTGTGCTATAGCACAAACAAATACAACATGCTAACATTATTATAATAATGTTAGCATGTTGTATTTGTTTGGAAAACGGGTTTAGTATGAGACAGTTGTTTTGTCAGTGAACACTGGGAGTTGTCATGGAGATGAATTTTGTAACGCTACCTTTGTTTAATGTTGCTGTTGTCCCTGGTTTCATATGAGAAGAGGAAAAGGTTTCTAGCTGCTAGGCTAATTTATACAATGTAAAATGCCATAGGCTTGTGCTAAAATCATTAGCATGTTGTATTTGTGGGGAAAATGTGTCCAGATAAAGACAAGTGTTTGTCTGTGAATGCTGCGAGTTATAGTGAAGCTGATTTGTGTACTTGTGTTTGAAAATGTCTCTACTAAGCCATGTTTAAAGTGTGTTTTGAATCGACTAAACTTTACAGCACTTCACAGAAACCTCTTCTACCGACTAGTGTTTTGGAGGTGTTACTGCAGAGTGACACAGACACGCCACCACACAAGTATAAATGCTCACAACTTGTGTAGGCGACAGCTTAGATACTGCATAGAGCTGACGCACAAGAATAAATCTGCCTTCAGCGACCCCAGCTATAAAACATTGGACTAGACTCCACAAAAATATTTATTGGTGTTTTGTGTTACTTACTGCTGTCCAAAATCTTGCAATTTTTAGGGATTTACAGTGCCAGTAAGATGGTAAATCTACATTGAGGTACTAATCGTCACCTACAATTAAAAGTGGACTTGAAATTCCATTTCCAACCTTCGGTGAGAGCTGAGAAATGTCGTTGACGTTATGCTGGTCACTGAAAATGAATGAAATACAAATGACTGTGTGTCTTATCTCAGATATGTAAAGATTTTCATCTCCTGTGTCTTCACAGGTCAATGGTACACCAGTATCTGTACCGTTTCTAACTGGACTGATGACACGTCTGTCCACATCTGAGGGCTTCATTGTCATTGACACGCCCCAGGACATCCAGGTTCGATACAACCGCTTTAACACCCTCAGCATCACCATGGGACAGCGGCTTCAGAACAAGGTGTGCGGACTCTGTGGGAATTTCAACGGAGACCCAAGTGACGACTACATCACGTCCAGGGGCAAGCCGGCTGTCAGCGCCCTGGAGCTGGCTCAGAGCTGGAAGACCAACGGTATGCAGAACAGGTGGGTCAGGTTTACAGATACAGAATTGTACAATCGTTTTAAAATCACCTCATACGTTTAACATCGAAGCTGTAATTGGTATTTTTTATAAAAATAACTTTTTTTTGTATTTGCTGAAACTGTTACTATCCAGACAGTAGTACATAAGACAGATAATCCATGAAAAAAAATCAGCCAATTTTCATCAGCCAACATTCATGCACTAATGTTGGCTGGCACTAATGGCTATTGAACCTAAATTTGTCATGTGAACAGAAACATAAATCCAAATACATGGTAACTGACTTTAGTCTAGACAAACAGGCTTCAGATTTACTAGCTGGAATTTACTGAGCTGTGACGGATGTTTACCTTTGTCCTCCAGCTGTGATGAAACCCAGTACGTGGCTCTGGCTCAGTCCTGTGACAACACGGCGGTGCTGGCGCTGCAAGGTGAGGACGCCTGTCAGAAGCTCACCCAGCTGAAGGGTTTCTTCCAGCCGTGCCATGGCCTGCTGGATCCCCGGCCCTTCTACCAGTCCTGCTACCTGGACGGCTGCTATAATCACCGCAAGGCTCAGGTCTGCGGCTCCCTGGCAGCCTACGCAGAGGCCTGCCGCTCCATGGGGACCCTCACCACCAAGTGGATCGCCCAGGAGAACTGCTGTAAGGGCACCGCGAGGCACCAGCCTCTCTCAGCCACATGGCACACACACAAGAATAGTTTCAGATGAGTGTATTGATGTTTCAGCTCCTGTTGTCTCACTTGGATTTCACTGTCTGGACAGTAAGAGGACACTGTAAGATTTTAGGAGGGAAAATTAAGCTAAAACTATGAAATTTGAGAGGACATTGAAAGTGACATATCCTTGGCAGAAATTTCACCCAGTGCTTTTCATCGGTCATAGTTTGGCTGGTTGAGTCGCTGTACTGAATCTGCATGTTTCTTTGAGCTACCAGTGTGTGTGACAGCTAACATTGTGTGTGGACGTGTCTTTAGCAGAATGGATCTATGACCCCTGTGCAGGAGAGATCTGCACAAACTTCACCTGTGAGCTGGAGAACGGAGGAGACCTGTGTGGCTGCCCGGAGTTACCCACCAGCACTGGAGGTGAGCGCTTCACAGGGCAACAATGTCGCCATGTCATCCATCCCCACCTTTTTAAATCCTTTCCCAGTATGCGGTACATGATATAAACAAACTACCATTCTGAAATATGGTCGCATTTCAGCTGAGTTCAGTCGACTTTTCAGGTAAAGATAGATTATATACAAGATAGAAGATTTCCTTTTTGAATTTGGAATTCATAGTAATAGGCCGGGAGCCAGGTCCAGCCCTAATGATGTTACCTTTTTTTCATTATCATTTCCTGTAAGCCTGTACATTGGGCCATCACAAGTTGATAATGAGCACCCCCAACTCAGGGCCGTCTGGTCTCAAGAGGCCCAAAACCCCTTTTATGGGGGCACATTTCCGGTGAAATGATAATGATGTAAATGCAAATATTAGGGCACTATGATGACATACAAGTATGAAATTTGGCAAGGAGTATCCTGAGACAAAGGGGAAAGTAGCAAAATAAGATTCTGGGGGTTGCTGCCATTTTATTTCAAAATATCACACACAACATCCCTAAAAACAACAAAAAAATGACTGTCCGTTTGACAAATTCTTGTCAAAATGATCAGTTTTTATCACTTTGTTACTGCTTCACTCGTAAATAGAAAACTTCCCAATTTGATAAGCTTCCATTTGAGCCCAAGATGACCTTTCTTTCTTGTAATTACACTCTAAATTTGTCACTATACCTCAAATCAGAGAAAAGGGAATTTTCATTCACCAGCCTCCCAGAGAGTCCACTTGCCAGCAATGTGAACCAGAAGTGTTGAGTTACCCAAAGTTTTATGTCATAAATGTACAGAATGGGTCTCTAGCATGTAGAAACTGCCGGATGCTAACTTGCATAATATTGCTAAATTTGCATAATTAATAACAATTCAGATGTATTAACATAATCACCTATATAGACTATATTTAAGACCCTAAGATACTTGAACTCCCTCACTTGGGGCAGCGAGGGCAGCTTGCTTGCCGATGTGAAAACGTGAATGACCCTGTTTAGATCCAGTGTTCTGTTTGTCTGTTCTCAGTTACTGTAGAAACATGGCGGTGCAACACGTCAATCTCTGAAGGCAAGGACCTGCTCCCTATGTAGATATAAACAGCTCATTCTAAGGCAACTGAAATGCAACAATTCTTATTTTCGGCTGATTACACACTGAAGAAAACTAAACTGTTATATTGTATTCCATATCTGCCCCTAAATCCTTCACACTGGAGCTGTAAATGGTGGGGATAGCCTCTGGGTATGAGCATCATGAATATCTGCCTGACACTGACATGTACAGTCGTTGATATCTGTCCTTGTGTGTGGCAGGTGATGATGACATCATCCAGGCGGAGGTGACCTGTAAGCATGCTCAGATGGAGGTCTCCATTTCCAAGTGCAAGCTCTTCCAGCTGGGCTTTGAAAGAGAGGACGTCAGGATCAACGATGAGCACTGCGCAGGCATCGAGGGAGAGGACTTCATCTCCTTCCGCATCAACAACACCAAGGGGCACTGTGGCTCCATCGTACTGGTCAGTTCACATTCGGCCCCCATTCTTACTGGATTAATGCGTGTTGACTGTTCTGGTTACTTTGATTTCTAGATGGGTTGTTTTGGAAACAGTTCCTTTGCACACAAACACACCCTGCATTTGGTTTCTGACATTTAACCACCTTTGCGCCTCTGGGAGAAATGCAGTGTGCTCCCCTGGAGGCATAAGCATGCATTAAGAGTGTAATTTCTCTCACTGCCAGAAGGGGGAGACAAGCTCCATACTCCATCTCTATTAGAAGAAGTAATAGTTTACACTTTTAAGAAACAAGAGTTAGATGAGAAGTTCACTAGCTGTTCCAAAGTTGGAATTTGGTCAGCGCAGCATGCATGAGGATTGGGAACAGAGGGAAACTGCTCGCCTGGCTCTGTCTAAAAAAAAGTAAAATACAAACTGCCTAAACACACCTCTGTCCTCTCACTTGTTTTATAATCTGGAATAAAAAATATATTTCATAGGGAGCTCTAACAATGATGTGTGTTCACACCAAATGCAAAGCAAATTTTCGCGTTGCATTACTCGTGTGAGTTTGAACGCTACAATACATCCTCTGTGTCATATGTCCCTGGAAGATGTGTTCAGATTCTTCAACTCTCGCAAATGACGCGAAATCAAGCTATTTGCTTACTTTGTGCCGCTTAATTTGCGTATTTCACATCATTCACGTCGTGCCCATCGTACCACCTGGGGGGAATTCACATCTAATCGCATCTTTGAAATGATTTTACATGTCATTCACTCGTGTGAATTGCTTTATTTATGCCTGGTGTGAACACAACAGTACACTGTTGCACGAGTTTGAATGCTAGAATATTTTGTGCTGCGCTTCATACATGCGTGAAATCGCTGAATCTATGAATGAACTTCCGCAAATACGTTCTCGGCGTCATACGTCCCTGGAAGATCTCAATGCTGATTGGCTTTTGCGGCACGAATAGGTTGCTGAAGTTGAGTTTTGTTATACATTTTGTTTTTTTGGCAGCTACTCGCTTCATTGGCACTACTTAATTCCTGTATTATACGTTATTTGCAGTAATTCGCATCTAATCCATCTTTACGTTGACTTTGTGAATTGTTTAATTCACGCCCACTGTGACAGCGAGTCACAGTGGGGTTGTCAAGTTTGTACAATCATGCCTCCACAGTGGCTCAACACGTGCTCAGGCCACCACTGGGCAGATGTAATGATTAATGAGTTTCAGAGGTGTAAGCTGAGCCAGGCTAACCAGGTCCTGACTCTAGTTCAGTATTAAACACAGACATGAGATTGATTGATTACCTCATCTCACTCAAACAAAGCGAATACAGAAATGTTTCCCAAAACATTTAACTATGAGAAGAATACAAGCGTATTTCCCAAATTGTGACTGTTCCTTTAGTTATTAACACCAAAATATCAAATTGCAGCCTTGTTGCCTTTTTGTTTACTGACTGTGAATCTTTGAAACATCTCTCTGGCAGTCAAACGGCACACACATCATGTATAAGAACACCGTGTGGATCGAGAGTGTGAACAACACCGGGAACGTCATCACCAGAGACAAAACCATCAACGTGGAGTTTTCCTGCGCCTACGAACTGGACCTGAAGATCTCTCTGGAGACTGTCCTCAAGCCCATGCTCAGGTCAGACGGAGCACACGTCGACACAGTGGATTAAAATGTTCATTTCAAATAAAACACCTGGCTACATTTCTGCTTCTTCTTTCCTCCAGTGTGATAAATCTCACCTTACCGACCCAGGAGGGAAACTTCATCACCAAGATGGCTCTGTATAAGAACTCCTCATACCGAAACCCGTACAGGGAGGGGGAGGTGGTGCTCAGCACGCGAGACATCCTGTTTGTGGGCGTCTTTGTGGAAGGGGCGGATGAAAACCAGCTCATCCTCATTGTGAACATGTGCTGGGCCACACCATCCCGCTACAGCAGTGACCGGCTTCGCTACATCATCATAGAGAGAGGGTAGGCTGGTGAAAACTGCCTTTCAAAATGATATAAAGCAGAAAATCCAAACACCTGAGAAACCTAAACTGGTGAATTTTTGCTTGGGAAATGACATAAACTAATAATGACTATTTCCAGGTGTCCAAACATTAAGGACAACACCATCGGCATGGCAGAGAACGGCGTGTCCCTCACCTGTCGCTTCCACGTCACCGTCTTCAAGTTCATCGGGGATTACGACGAGGTGCACCTCCACTGTGACGTCTCCCTGTGTGACTCGGAAACAAACGCCTGCAAAGTGGTGAGAAAATCTTACGATCTTTAAAGGGATAGTGCACCCAACAATGAAAATTCAGCCATTATCTACTCACCCTCATGCTGATGGAGGCTCAGGTGAAGTTTTAGAGTCCTCACATCACTTGCGGAGATCCAAGGGGAGAGTGGGTAGCAACACAACGCCACCTAATGCAGGCTGGGTGCCCCAGATTCAAACGTCCAAAAACACATAATTGAAACCACAAAATACCTCCATACTGCTCGTCCGTAGTGATCCAAGTGTCCTGAAGCACCGACATAAAAAGTTGTTTGGAAAAACGTCATTTGAACTCTGTTTTTAGCCTCATTGTAGCCTGCAGCTCTAACTGCTTCTCTGTGCACCGCGCTCATGTGTGTGCGCTTGCGCGCGAGACCGTGAGACATGGGCGCTGCGTTCATGTGCGTTCACGTGCTTTCACTGGTCTCGCGCTAAAATATGGCATATGGGTGAGTAGTTAATGGCTGAATTTTCATTTTTGGGTGCACTATCCCTTTAAGGTCAAAGCAGCGATGAAACAACATGTGTTGTATTAATATACGTGTGCTGTGTATTCAGAACTGTCCGCACAAGAGAAGAATGTACTCGGAGGACAGTGACCATAAAGAGCACATACTGACTGTGGGCCCCATCAGAAGGAGAGGTGAGTCCAGTCCAGTCCTGACCAGAGGTGGGGGACTTGAGTCAAGTCACATGATCTGACTCAAGTGTGAGTCAAGTTGCAAATCTGAGGACTTGAGACTTGCTCGACTAACACTGATGGAAGACTCGACTTGAATTTGACTTGTGGCAGATGACTTTTTAAATTTAATATTTATATTTTTCTAGTTATTGAGAAGTCACGTTTTGCTTTTAAAATAAGATGACGCACAGCTCTGTCCTCCTGCCTGCAGCACCCCTCAGAGGAAGTAGTATGTATGGCTACATCATGAGCTTCACAGCGTGGTTTCATTCGGTTCTGTCTGCGTGACACATGTCAGTTAAGTGTAACTCATTTAGTATTGACTGTGCTTTGCAACCTGTGACACTCTGGGTGTTTCTCAAAGTCAAGGAAGGATCCTCAAAGGGCCAAATTTCAAGGAAGCTACGTCATAGACCCGCCGAAGGACTGTTCCAATGTCAAGGATCCTTCCAAGTTTCATGAAGGACTGAGTCCTTCTTTCAGAGAAATTCCAAGGCTACATTAGTGGATCCTCTGTTGGTACAAAATCCCCACAATGCTTTGCGCACAATTTGCTGCAAGTGAAGGCGGGGCGTCTTCAATGAAACCATTAATATGTTATTCATTTGGATTAATATCTCCATGAGTTATTATACAAGAGTGAAAAAAGTATTGACAGAAACCTCATCATCTACACTTTGTAATGTGTCCACTGCCGAATAATGAGATTTGTAAAATAGTGTATCACACACATAAAATATGGAACACTTTGAAACTGCAGTGATTGTGTGTGTGAGTCTGTGTTCATATTGTTAATGATAGTTTAGAACTTTCTTCAGCTGTTGTCTTTACTTTTTTACTCTACTCTTACTCTTAAGTATGATGCAGAAATATATTCTCCCTAAAAGTCACGTGATTCTGACAATGCTGATAAAATAGTACAACAACATTAGAGAGTGCCAAAATGATCACAGTACCCTGAAACCCCCTCAGTCTGCTGAGGGTTAATGACATGCCATGATATAGTTTCTCCAATTACTTTTTTTTACCTCCCGCTCCTGCTCGGCTCATTTGGGGATTTTAACAGTGCTATATTATCTCAGCTGTTCTCTCACAGCAGCAGGTGTGTTGACCTGACCAGAGGGCTCGGAGCAGGTGTTTCAATCTTCAAAAAAAAAATCTTCACATTTGAGAAGCTGCAACCAGGAAATGTTTTTGCATTAAAAACAAGTTAGATGATCAAAATGGTAGCAAATTTATTTTCTGTCATCTGCAAAATCTTAATTTGTAAAGTAAGTAGTATCTAAAGCTGTCAGATAAATGTACTGGAGGAGAGGAGATTTGTACATACAGTATCTGAGGAAATGTGTTCAGTTACATTCCATCACTGGGTGCAGCTTATGTTTTATTATCTTTATGAATTTGTGAGTATGACTTGATTTGTGACCTGACCAATGACTTATAGCAAGGACTTGACTTGATTTTCACCACAAGAACTTACTTGGGATTTGCTTGAGACTTGCACATGTGTGACTTACTTCCACCTCTGGTCCTGACCTACTTACTTTCTTAGTTTCTTTTATAGTTGTCTTTGGGTTTTACCTCGAGCAAAACAGTTCATAAGTGAATTTCTAATATCCTTGAGATACATTGTAAAAACAGGAATGATGTTAACCAAGTTCACTGTATTTAACTTTACAGAAGTTATTATATCCAAAATCAAAATTCGAGCCATTTCCAGAGCTATTTAGTCAAATTCCAAAGCTTCTCTAAGGGTTTCGTGCCTCATCTGTGACGCTTTCTTTTAGAATCAGACTGGTGTGAGGAGGAAAACGGAGGCTGTGAGCAGATCTGCACCAGTAAGATGACGGGACCTGTCTGCAGCTGTGTGACTGGGATGTTGCAACGGGATGGGAAAAGCTGCCGAAGTAAGCCCCAGGAGCACATGTACACACAAGACACAAAGAGTACTTCAAAGTTATTTATTCTTGGGTTAAAATTCAAAATCCAAGACGACACGTTTAAAAAGCAGAACAATGCAACAAAATGAGTGCTGAATTAATCTCCTCTTGAGTTTCATATTTTTAACTTGTGCTGCTCTGTGGCTGTCTGTGAATTTCCTGCTTGTCTCAGTCTGTTTATGAGACACCTCACTGCTGTGGATATTTAACAAGAGTCGGGCAGAACAACTCTATCTGATGTTTGCTGATTAATAAGTAACACAAGCTGGACATTTGATGCAGAGAGACGGCATTAAAAACCTGCGACGTGCGTCACTACACACTGCTGTCGTAACACTACTGTGATTGAGATGTGATAAAGAAATGAGTCTTTTTGTTTTATCTCAGTCACCTCTACTGCCAGTGTGTACACGGCCTCTAGTGCAGGATGTTTGTCATGGACTGCGCCATTCAGTTTGAGTTTGGGTGCATTAGAGAGTTAATTTACATATGAGTAACTCTTTATTCAGGTAGGAATGAGCTAATGACGCTGACAGGTGCTAAACAGCGATGTGACCCTCTTTGCACATCACTGTCATGCATATGTATGGAAATATAATTATATAAAATATATATTTAACAGCATAAAATCATATAAATATATCAGTCTAAATAAATACTTATGTAGGCTTATCTTCCATTTTGATTTGAGTCCAGAACCAGTCCCAAGGAGATTCTCCTTTGTCCTGATTGCCATTTATACTGCTGAGCAACCATCCATAAGATGCTATTTCCACCATTGCATTAACACATTCTTTCAATCCTGGGGCCTCTGTTGCCTTCCAGTGTTTTAGAATAACTCAACAGACCTAAAATGCACACTTGGATATGGTTGGAATTTGTGAACATAAATATATAAACAATAAAGAAACAACACAATAAATATATGTATCTAACACATTATGTTATGTGAGAAAAAAAATGCCATGGCGCATCCTACATAATAAATGTTTTCTTCTCTTCCCAGCTGTGAGCTCAAGCTATAACCTCACACCTGCCGTTTCTCTGCTGAGCATCAGTGCTGTGATCTCCATGTTCCCGGCTCGTATTCACACTCTCCTCTCCTAACACCCTGCGAGCAAAGGAGGGCAACACATCAAACAGAATCAAACACAGAAAAGACTTGAAGATGCACAAAGTTTATCAGCGTTGGTAGGTCAGAGTAGATCAGCTGCGTTCCAGTCAGAAGATGTAGACAGAGTAAATTGTACATTCACAGTGACCACATATTCATAATGCAACTGAATGTACGTAACTAAACAAGAAAAGTAAGTTTCACCCCAACGTGATTACAACACATTGCAAATTTATCTGGTGGTTTTTGTTTGTAGAAAAATGAATGCATAGGTCTGCCAGAGTGTTTTCTATATTGCCACCAGATGGCGCCAAAGTAGGACATTTTATAATCCCACACATGTTGGCTGGTTTGAGTCATATTCAATGTCAACTTGACCCAAGAACACTGGTGTTGAAGGCAAACATCTGACCCAACTTCCTGACCTCCACACTCTAACATCACCCTGCTATGAACACAATATATTCTGCATTAGAACTAATCAATAACACTGAAGTTGCATAATGGTCAGCATCAGCGTTATCTGGATACTGACATCTGGTTACAGGGCTTTGCATTTACACCTGATATCATTAATAATCTCCTTATCCTGATTCTGCCCACATTGTGCTCTGATCTCAAAATGCACAAAAAATAAGATAAACTGTTGTGAACAGTTAGTCATGCACTTGATCAGGTGACTGACAGAAAATGATTTGCCATTTAATGTGGTAATCAGTTAAACAATTTGTCATTTTTAAGCAGAAAGGCCAAAGATGATCTCGTTCCACCCTCTCAACTAACAGGATTTTCTGCTTTAATTCATTTAATGTGACAGTAAACTGAATATTTTTGTATTTTGGACTGTTAGTCAAAACAAAACAAGAAATATAAAGATGTCCAGGTCAATATTACTATCATTAAGATGCTGTGGTGCACTCATTTTTTCAGCTACCTAAGGTTTTCATTGGTACCAATGATGTCGGCATTGCCTGTCAGGAAGAGGGCCAATTAACGCTCCAAATTTAGGCTAAATTTTTAAAGATGTCCCTTAAACTCTCATCTCAAAATATCTGAATGGAAATGGGTTCTATAGATACCCATGATTCTAACCCGGTCTCACTCCGAAGTCGTCAAAATGCATCACTTGGGCAGTGACTTGAAGTGTCAGACACTAATGAAAAAAGCTCTCCTTTGTTATTTGCATGATACACAGCCGGTCGCTGTTACTGTACGTTCAAACCAGAAGCTTCCAAAGAGGCAAAGTCTCTCGTGAAAGCCCAAGAAGCATGACTGTCAAAAATATTTGTGGCAGCTTTGGTCGCTCTAGTTGCTCATCACGTGACTCATTCGAACGTTCAATCGTGCTTGTCAATTTAAAGGAGCCGGACTACTGGCTTGAAAGCAGCGTAGTTGCTGCTGTGTTGATAAAATACTTTGCTTTGCAGTATGTCATCCCATTCAAACCAAGCAAGGAAGACTTGCATGCTACGTTGCAACATTAGCTGCAATTCTCTCCTCTCTTACTAACATTACACACTTTAAAACTCACCAGACCAACCAGCTACCTCCGGGACACGGTCCCAAGCCTCATTCTTTTTATTTTGGTCTCTGTAACCGAACAGCGACACATTATAAAGGACTGAGTGGGCGCAATCACAAGTAATCAACTTCTTGATATCCATTGTCGGAACTAGTGTGCTGTAGGAACTAAAGTTGCATGGCTGGTTCTCTGGGACCCGCTTCATCAAAGCACGTCAGCATTCCAATTAGTTGTCGCCAAACCGCGTCAGAGCTCATTACCATAAAGTTAAATGAGTTTTAACTCCCCTCCGGACCCACTCTGGTCACTTTGGTCGCCCAAGATGTGCGGCTGACGACCAGGTCGCCCAAGTCGCCCAAGTTGCCGGGCTCTCGTTGAAAATTGATGACTTGCGCTGTTTTGGAAGCTCTGGTCACGGTTGGTTTGAACGTACAGTTATAGTTTAACGATGCTCGTTTGCATCGGGGGGAAACACAGTGGGCAAAAGTCCGAGTTGGTCAGGTGTAAGGGTGGTGGACGGGTCCAAGAAACACTGACTTTCCTCCGCGAGAGCTGCGCTCGCATCCCGCAAGATTAGGAATAAAGAACAGGGTTTGGCTTTATAAACCCAACCATGTGCGTTAGTTGTTGGTCAGCGTTAAATTTACTTTGAAAGAAGACATGCATGTAACAGGCAGAACTTGACACAGTGTCCCAGAACACCAACAACCAATGCACCCACAATACCTTTCATGTTGTATCTGGACGTGGAAAGTCCATGACCAAACGTTGATACGTGACACTGTCGGAGTGAGACTTTGTTGACAAGTCTCCCATAAACTTGTGAAAACTTGTTCACAGTAAATGTTTTGTTCCTTATGATCAGAGTAGGTCTTCAAATTAAAACTCATTTGTCTTTTTCAGGAAAAGACCAACCAGTCTATGTAAAGGACAATGAATTGCTTCACAGGTATAAGTACAAAAAACAAGAACAAGTTGTGGAACTCAGAATGTTAACTGTACCGGTATTATTCCATGCACATCTGATAATTAGTAATATTAACCAATAAGAAACCAAAGTATATCAGTATGCGATTCCTTAACTCTCTTATCGACAAAGGTTTTGACGAGCCAATATGCTTCAACAGCATAATAAAGGAAACTGGCCTGAAATTCAGTTACGTTTTTTGGTTAGATTTTCAGAGGCCCATCTGGCCACCCTTGTGAAAGATTTCCGGGGGCACCCCTGGTGTTGTTGGGCCTTGGGGTATTATGACTTTTGGACATTTTACAGACAAAACTATGACCTGGATCCTCAAGAATATAATACATGTGCTGTTGTGGAATTAAAAGTGTCTGAATATAAATTCTCCTGACTGTCAGTTAGACACTTAACACAGCTTACTTACTGTTTGACCTCCACAAAATTTACATCATCATTCATGTAAGAAGAAAACTGGATGATGTGTTTAATGATGCAAACAGCGGGAGAAACATTGTGAATGGGTGGCCTACATTTATCTTGCATGTCAAAGTGGAGTTTATGAATGCAGTGAGGATTAATGTGTGAGGAGAGCACAGTGTGAAATTAATACTACTCAAATTTTGGTGTCATAGATCTGTAAGATATACAATCAGTTGTGCCATTAAAATATTTAATTTCTATCCTAATCAGTTCTGATTAATATTGACTGTTGGCTCTGACGTTGATTCTGGACAACAGTTTGCCTTTTAGGTCGGACATTTGAAGACATTGTAACACTGTCAATAGACTGAGGTTCTCTAAATATGGTCCCTGGTTTTCTATTTGGCACCAATATATGTCATCAAACATCTTATGTAACCCTTCAGTGTTCTTCACTGAAGCCCACTGAAATTCTCAGTTTTGGGTTAGTTATGCAGTGAGTAGCAGTTTTTCATAGGTAGCCCTGTTTTGCTACCTTCTATGTACAAATGTACAGTCCTTGTCAGTTTGGTGGTTTATGTCGTGACTTTTTTTTTTTTTTTTTTTAAATAATCAGTATCTTTTGTTTTTTTGATGTTTAAAAACACGACCAAAAGATGTTTTATTCTTTGAGAGCAGCACCACCCGACTTTGAATAAATGAAGAAGTTCTCAAAGTCAGTGTGAGTCGAGTTTATTTGTTGCATAGTTTGTAGTCATGTCCATTCAGTGAACACAGTCAGTATATCCATCCATCCCTCTTTGAACTGCTTATCTGAAGTTGGATCACGGGGCAGCAGGCCGAGCACAGCATTCTAGACGTCCCTCTCTCCAGCAACGCTTTCCAGCTCCTCCTTGTGGACCCCGAGGTGTTCCCAGACGAGATATATAATCCCTCAAGGGTGTTCTGGGTCTGCCCTGGGGCCTCCTACCAGTGTCCAGAACACCTCCAACGGGAAGCGGCCAGGAGGATCCTGATCAGAAGCCCGAAACACCTCAAGTGACCCCTTTCAGCGCGAAGGAGCAGCGGCTCTACTCCGAGCTCCCTCCAGATGTCTCAGCTCCTCACCCTATCTCTAAGGCTGAGCCTGCCACCCTTCGTAGGAAAGTCATTTCGACCGCTTGCACCCACGATCTCATTCTTCAGGTCACTACACAGAGCTCATGACCATAGCTGAGGGTTGGGACATTGAAAGCTTTGCCTTCTGGCTCAGCTCCCTCTTCACCATGACTGTCCAGCACAGTGCCCGCATCACTGCAAACACTGCATCAAACCGTCGATCCATCTCACGCTCCATTCTACCCTCACTCATGAACAAGACCCCGAGATACTTGAACTCCCTCACTTAGGGCAGGAACTCTCTCCCATCCCAGAGGGGGCAATCCACTGGTTTCCGACAGAGAACCATGGCCTCAGACTCGGTTTTGCTGACTTTCATCCCGACCTCTTGGCACAAAGTTTTATTACATTACACCAAAAAGTACCCAAACGTATGTCCTGTTGTTTCAGTAGCTGACAGGAAGTAAACTAAACAATGCAGCTGTCACCTAACTTCCGATTAAATGATCTGTGTCACTCAGTCCACACCTTGTGGTTGTGTTCAGGCACTTGGAAGTTGCAAAATCTATTCAAGTAAATTCTTTCCGCAGTGAGACATACCTTCAAAGCGTTTATGTACACTGTAGTCATCCATCAGCTGTCAGTGACATTTGATAGATGCTATGTGACATGAGAGGGGGTGTGAAAGGGAGTAGGTTGAAGAAGAGAAAGTACACAATCAAAAATGCACTTTACAGCTGATAATGAAACTTCCTCTTCTCATTATTTTAATTAAGACTGATTTAAAGTGTATTTCTGTCGGAACACAAAATACAAAGTGTCTGTAGACTGTAGGCAGGTTGACCTGGGAAACACTGATTAACCCTTCTTACTGATAGGACTGCATAGTAGTTGCAGTATTCAGCAGCATGTAACACATTGTTCCTCTCTTGTAGCAGAAGACACACTTACATGCCAGACCATGCAAGTAACATTCAGTCATACTGTGTTACATGTAGGGCAGTCAGGCCACTGATTATATACATGCCTTTCAAATGTGCTCCGTTGACACGCTGGTTTATTGTCCCCTGTCCTCGTTTCCTTCCCTTTGTGGTGAATGTTTGCTTTGTTGTGTATCTATGGTTACATAAGTATGTAGGTGTAAATGTGTTTATGGGTGTGGGTGTGTGTGTGTGTGTGTATCAGACTGTTGGTCATTGTCACCTACTACTCATCCTAAATATTTGTCACTATATTCATTATTTGTCACTTAAATGAGACTTTCTCCACGTTAAGGTTATTACCATCAGTGGTGGAGGAAGTATTCAGATATTCAGTGTAAGTGGCAGAGGCTCAGCCTAAGATTACTCCACAACAAGTCAGGGACTAATTTAGTTGCCTAGA